TGGCTCGCGGAGAGCTCGTGGGTGATTCCCGTTTACATCATGAAGCAGAGGTTCAAACTCCAGTCCGAACACCACTGGCCATGAGCTTTGGGCTCTGCTCTCACGGATAATATTTATTTATATAGCATGTTTTATTTTAGATCAACTAGAAGCAATGTTTAATTTATAAAGTTTTATTTTGAAATGTAAGTCAATAACAATTGGCCGAAGCCAGAGCCAATGGAGAGTCTTTGCGCGAAGAGACCCCGCCCCATTTTGGAGGTTCTGCCCACTTTTGGAGTTCACGCCCCATTTTGGAATCTCGTTTCCTCTGTCCTCTGCACTCGCGTGTATATGCTGGAGAAACACATTGTACTTTCTATCGTTTTGTTGCATCTTCCTTTAACAATAATACATTCGTTGATGGTGACCTGCATCGTGTGCTTCTTCCATAACACACAACAGGTTACAAAAGGTTGTTTGAAAACATGCTTTATTGTAATTTCGCTAGGTGGCACTGGTAGCACAGAAACCCTATGCTACATAATCCTTAATGGATTATGAGGTGATACATTTGTGTTACAACACAAAATAATGTTACTAAGGCAACTAAATTGTTCTCGATTTCATCTTTCAAGATCTTCCAGATTAGATTCAAGCTCACGTGACACGTGCCTTAATTCTGCAGAGCTGGCGGATGTGGTAGTTTTGCAGGTTATAGAATTTCTCGGGGTTAGCGATAAATACACATCACTGAGGAGGAAAGGACCGTTGGTGTGCCTGAGTTCTCACCAGCAGGGGGCAGAACGGAATAACAAACTGTGGGAGCTTTCCTGTGTGTTGTTGCTTTGGCTCACGTTTTCTTCCTCGGGCAATGCCTGAAAAAAAGTGGTTTATTTTTATCTGTTTTCTCCTTCTTTTGAATTTGATCTTGTATTACAGTAAGTCACCATAATGAATAAATTCCTAGATAAAATTAAATCATTCAGTTTAAATCACTCATGATCAGGCTTAATAACTGTCTATTTTAATAATATACTTAGGCCTATTTAGGTTTCCGATTCATATTATTTTTGCAGAATCAGAAATAGATTACAGAGCGCAATTTCCTCTGTTTTAACTTTTTTGTTTGTCTTACTGGGCCCACTTTTTGGCTCAGGTAATTATTTGATGTCTTTATAAAATAACCACAGGGTGGCAATGCAACTCCATAGCTAATAAATTGAGGAAACTAGAGGTTCCAGATAAAACACAGTTGGTGTTTATTTTTCATATAGAATGGAACTACACCTTTTTGTTTTGCTCAATATCAAAACAAAACATAAAAATAAAAGACCAATCATAACCATAATGACACTGATTTATGAGAAAAATCTTCAGAATATTAGTTTTGTATTATACACTTATACATACACTCATATTTTAGTATTAATATTTAAATATATTAGATGTATGAATATTATATAGTGGTACAGTAATAATTATTTGTATGTTAATAAATACAAATGTCAGTTCAATCTAGAGGAAAATTAGTAACACAAAGCACAGATGATTTCGTCATTGATTTGGAAGAATTTTCTCTGTTTTTGCTTACCTTGTCTCCCCTTCTCAGAGGCCAGGAACCTGCCATCACTCAATCCCACAACTGTCCACTATCATTAAAATTTGTGAGATGGGCCAAACCACAACACTTGGTCTTGTGCTTTTTTTTTTTTTTTTTTATTAATCTCCATCAGTTTTCCATTGTGGCATTTATGTGGATGAATGGCCTTAGAAAGGTCAACACTGAACATTGATTACACACCACGCTGTCAGAAGGGCCTGGGGGAGAGGGGTAAGTGGCCATTTGTTTTGTGCAAACTCTTGAATGTCTAGAAATCTTCAAAAAGTGCTGGCAGAAAAGGCTGGAGCATTGTAGGGCTCTCCATCATACTCTGGCACCGTTTGACACTACAGAGCCGTTTAAGGGCTGCTCCCCAGACATCCAAAACTGCAGAGTGTGACTCTGCAGTTTTATT